AGAGCCGAAGATAGCCGAGCCCCGTAACCTGGCAACTACGCAATGCTAATCAACAGCGGTGACGTCACACTAGCAACAGCGTCCTAGGCTATACGCCACGTCACACTAGCAACAGTGCAAGGCTATATAAGTGGACTCCACAGCAGCTACGAGTTCAGTTGAAACATAGCCTGCGAGTGCGATAACTAAGAAGTCAGCGAGCGGAAGACGTATTGTGTGCTTTCAAGACATAGTGAGTGCTGTAGTACAGTTATACTCGGAGTGTGTATTTCAGGGAGACTGATATAGCTCCCGCGTTATTAATACTGGAAGACTCTTGAAGACAGTGTTAAGAGATTGTGTTGTAGGGTTTGTAAACTGTGGAAACCCGTAACGTTGTGATAATTAATTGTAGCCGTTATTTGTAGATTGTTAAATAAACCAATTAACCATCTCTACGGCGTCTTCAGTAACGTGAACACGTTACACTGGTGTCAGAAGNCGCTGTTGACTCGCGTTGCCTAGCGACCGCGATATCCCTCGGTGACGTCACCGCGGAGGGGAGTGGCGGGGCGGGAACTCGCCTATTACCATAAGAATGCGAGCGTTACGTTACCGCCACGTACCGCTGGGGAGGGAGGGGTCAACATGTCACAATATCATGTCAAATCATTAAAAGGGTTCTAAATAAGCCATTCTAATTTATATTTTACCTATTTGTAAATCACACAACATGGTTATAAATGTATAAGACCAATCAAATTAGCAATATAGACATATTGCAACTGTAATTCATTGCAGTGGCTAGGATGATGGCAGTTGTGTCGACATTAACGAAGGGAATATGACTGCAATCTTCTAAAATGGTCTTACCACTCTGGAAATATCCCATATGCACAACACCCCATCAAGATTGCCAGTGGCTGCGAGAGAAAAGCTGCTATCCTGACAGAAACCTACGGCTTCAACAGAGGCATTACTGGACTCTGCCTCAGGGTTGGGACCTTTGCAATCCAATACTGACACAATCTGTAACCAGTGACAAAACCAGGAGTATTGTTTAAAAATATGTCCAACACATAGTCTTCTTTGTACTTACTGCTATACAGAAGGTAAAGTCATTCTGTGTCTGAGAGTAACACCATGGAAGCATATAGGCATTATTAATGTAAAGCACATATTTTAAATGACAATACTAGATGGTAGCTTTATGCTTCAGCCACTTTACCTGCAGAGAAGGAGCAATAACCATTGGGCACAAAAGGACTGGTCCCAGCACCACTCTGGACACAACAGTAAAACAAAGAATCCTCACCTCTACGCAGTCATCCAACACACTATCCCTGCTTTCATTATAACCAAATAATTTCAGTAACTAAACAGAAATTTGAATTCACAAACACAGTTGGTTCAGACATGTATAATATGATGGAAAGACATTGCAAGAAGAAGGAGAAACAAAATAATCTAGAGGCATAAACATGGTACACGGTGCCAAATCCCAGAAGACTGCTTTCTTCATGGGAAGAGGAAATTCAAAATGTATTGAGGAGAAAAGGACTATTATGGAATTCAAACAAAACTTAAGGACAAACTGAAAATTGTAAAACAAAACTGGATGATTCAGGGTACCTATTATGCAGAAGTCAGTTACTACTTAGAACTTAAATCTTACACTAACCTTTCCAGTCTGGGTTTTGAGTAGAACAGCATGTCCATCCACACTACCGGTTATGAGCAAGTTATTATCAGGATGGCATTCCATGGCACTAATAGTACCAGTGTGAGCCTGTCCTTGACGTATGTCATGTAACCGTGAGGTAGTCTTCATGTCATATATTTTAATTGACCCATCCCCATAACCTATCGCTGCACGTTTGCCTGAAAATTTGAAGTTCATATCATCAGTCCATCTTCATCACATCGTACTTGAAACCTCCTGAAAAAGACTCCCCCCACTGAGAAGTTCATGTCACTGAAATATTGCAAATGTTCAACTAACTGCTGAAGTGTATAGACAGAAGTTTGTACTATTATACTGAAACTCACATTTTAAAATTTCATTAAAGTTATAAACTAAGGGAAATGTTAAATGAAGAAAATTTTGCACAGATTATTGACTTGGGATCACTGAACATCAAATGAGGGAAAACCTTAAATTCTGGAACATTCAACAGGCAGCATCACTGTATTTAAAGATTTCCAGTAAAGTGTGGTCACATTTTATGCGAGGATGCATTCCTGGAGTCATACCATAATTCAAGACAAGCCTTCTCATAGTTTTGAAAGAAATATGTGAATCTTATGGTTTTCTTCAGGATCTGCATTACTTCAAACTTCGCGCATTTCTATATTGTACTATTTCAAATTCGCATAAAATGTGACCACACTCCACACTGCATTTACTTTTGGTTCGACTTTTGGTTGCAACATTCCGCCAAATTCCATTCGACTTCTTAAAGAAGCATCATTCCATTTATAATGAAAACGACTGGAATGCCTTTCAATCTGCATAAAGTGCCCTTCTTAATTATCCAACTATGGGACTCTCTTTCCTATAAAATGTCTGAAGAATGTGATGCTACGCAAGTGGTAGACAGGTACCAACATTTCAGACAAGCCTGACGCTCCCTTGTCCAAGTACGAAAAGTAAACTCTTCTATCCTGAAGACAGAGGCAATAGGTCACTACAAAACATTAGTATTTACCTAACTACATGGTATCACATACCAATGACAACAGTACATTCACAGTACTTCTTTTGGCTTATTTTGGACTTCACCCATCGTCTGGTATGTAAAAGACAAAAGACCACCACGTTTCGGAGCCTGGATCTGTCTCCGTCTTCAGGTGGATAGGGAAGGATAAACCTACTCAGTTGGACCCGTTAGAAAGAGCTAGTCTTGATCACTGGACCAGTGATTGAGACTAGCTCTTTCTAACGGGTCCAACTGAATAGGTTTATCCTTCCCTATCCACCTGAAGAGCTAGTCTCGATCACTGGTCCAGTGATTGAGACTAGCTCTTTCTAACGGGCCCAACTGAGTAGGTTTATCCTTCCCTATCCACCTGAAGACGGAGACAGATCCAGGCTCCGAAACGTGGTGGTCTTTTGTCTTTTACATACCAGACGATGGGTGAAGTCCAAAATAAGCCAAAAGAAGTACAGTATACACCATCGTCAGAATCCTTTCAAGTACATTCACAGTCACTGATATAAGAACCTCAAATCTGATATAAATTTTATGTCTATAGTTTTCTCAGGACAAACAAAAATAACAGACAATTTTGGGTCTCGACCTGAAAGCATTCAAACAGCACTGACGTTTCCACTGTGTTGAAGATTCTCATTGAGGTTTAGGGGCCAAGACTTCTTACCACCCCACCTCTTCTACATCCCTGACTTTGACTGGCCACTCCATCTGCTCCTCCATGACCCTTTTCCCTCCCTGCCCTATATAGCCCATCCTTTAGCAAAAACAGGTTATCTTCTACCCTGAACATATGGGCAATACGTACTTCCAACGTACTGGTAACTGCATACGAGACTACACAGTGTAATAAACCAGATGACTATAATATGAATCCAAAATGCATGTTTGGAATTCCATTGTGAAGGGCATACCATCAGGCAATATGAGCCCACACTCCGTTTTCTTCCAGTTGCCTGCCAGCAGCTTGTAGTCCCCTCCTGGAATTCGCCACATGTACACGTCCCCCAAAACGGTTCCAACAAGCAAGACATTTGCTCCGTGGTGCCACCTCAGCCACTGCAATCAATATTATTTAACTGCAAGGTACAGGGTCTCCCTCAAGCATATGATAGGTTATTCTGACATGGACAATGGACCCTTCATGTATAAATAATCTGCATTTAATGTTCCTAAGTTAAAGCTTTGGGGCATACAGCAGCATAGTTGGTTGAGGCACTATGCTACAAGCTTGAAGGTTGCGGGTTCACGTCCCAATGAGTAAGATTTCTTTCAATTTACCTAATCCTTCCAGCCACACTATGGCCCTGGGGTTGACTCAGCCTCTAACAGAAATGAGTACCAGGAATATCCCTGGGGGCTAAAGGGCGGCTGGCAAGTAAGACTGATAACCTTACCACCATCTGTGAACAGACTCTCTAGAAAATGTGGGAGCCTCAACCTCTCACAAGCCTATAGGCCTTCACAGGGATAAATTTACCTTTTTTTTTTAATTTAAAGTTTTCATTCATTTAACATTCAATTTAAATGACCATAAGTAAAAAATTTGTGTTGCATTTATGATTTTCCTCACTTCAGATCCACATTTCACAAAAGGAACTTGAGGTTCTACTACACATTGATTACCTATTAAATTATGATATATATATATTTTTTTTTGGATAAAGAAACACCTCTTTTTCTATAAATTGGCAGGATTGTCAGGAAAACCAGTGGCATGGATTGCTGGATATCACTGCGTTAAGACAGTTACCCAGTTTTAAATAACTGTTAACTTACTGTTAGGTCACCAACATGTGTCTGAAATACTGGGCACTTAGTAGCTACTCTCCAGACTATTAGCACACCGCTCATGTCTCCAGTTGCAACGTAAGATCCATCATGGCTGAACTCAGCACATATAACAGAGTCCTGTACATGACAAACGTAATTACAATGTTAACTATCAAATGTTGAATATAACTGATATAATTTTGACTTCAAACACACAATAAATATAAAAGTAAAGTTGTCCCTGGGCTCTGAAGAACCACACCATGAAGATGTATGGGGGGGAGGGATACAGCTACTGGCATCCTTAACCTCTGAACTAGGTGGAAGTGAATAGTCAGATCCACATTATCCTTATCCCCAGAGAACCCCCCCCCCAGCATTCATTAGACAGGATGCCCCAGACTCAATTCTGATGCAGCAGAGAGAATGAAAACATCTGCCCCCTGCTAGACACTGAATTCCCAAGTCCCTGGTCATTGAGTCCTTAGCTTAGTCACTATACTAACCTAGCTATCCCAGTTTTGAGCCTATATAAAAATTATTTCTTAAACAACGCACTCTGTGGTTTTAGTCTGCAAGTGAACTATACTGACGACCACCACTTGTCGGCAAAGTTAGTGCCAACTTTAGAAGATAGAGAGTGTCGAGTGGTCAGCGCAATGACTCCCCAAGGCCATTAATTTCGGGTTTCTAGACTGGAGCCGCTATTTCCTTGAAACAGCTCCTCCATTATCTTCATGAGGCTGAGTGGACCCCATTCCAGACCCACTACTTCTCACAAAATCTGGTAGCATCAGGAATCGAACCTGAACCTCTGGATCTGTAGCCAGGAACTCTGACCACTAGAACACAGGGGCAGTCTAATTAATTCCTAAAGAACAATAAAAGGTAAAGTTGTCCCTGTGTTTAACTAATTATGCAGTACATCATGAAGGTGTATGAGGGGAGCGGATGTACAGATATACATTTTCCTGACCTCGGCACTAGCTGGAGTTGAGTGATCAGCTTCATGCCCCTGCTGCTTTACCACTGGGGAAAGAGCTCCCAGTACCCAATGGATAGAAGGTTGGGTGGACCCCAGAGCCAGTCTGGACAACATGAAGAAGAGGAAATTCTTGCCCCCATCGGGACTCGAACTCCGACCCCCTTTGTCGTCCAGCATGTAACCAGTGGCTCTCCTGGCTCTTATGTTAAAGAATAGTAATATATATATTTCTTTTACTTATGTTACACAGATTTACACTTTTTAGAATGGCACAATTTGAAAATTTGAGACAAAAGCGAAAGAAATAATTATTTGAAATTTCTGTATAAGTGACTGATTACTGAGCATAATCATTTACTGTATCACATAAATTAACTATGCACTTACGCTCCCATACCAGCCAATTTAAATATCCTTCCTAACACAATGGTTCAGTTAGGCACACAAAGCAGAGAGCTTTTACCTTTCTTACATTCTACTACATCAAGCACAGCACAGGGTGTCCACTCAACTGTTAAGATTTATCCACGATTTTATAAAATTATAAAACAAGCACAATCTATAAACATTAGAACTAAAATTTTATATTTTAATTATAGGTTAACCATGACAAGCATGATTATATATTGAAGAAAGCAGTCTTCTGGGATTTGGCACCGTGTATATGTGGTGTTAACCGACGTTTCGGAGGAACGTATCGCCTCCATCTTCAGGGTAGAAGGAAAAATATAAGAAATCCGCAAGCGAAGAGACCGTGAGAACTGGTAAAAGCAGACTGGTGTTGGAAATATACACAGCTATGTGAGAGCAGAGAAGGAAGGGGGGATGGGCAAGTATACAAGTGAAAACAGTAGTGGAGGGGGGAAGGAGCTGGGACAAGCATGGTTTTTGTGTTGGGGGAGAGAAAGGCAAGGTTAAAGGCTGGGCAATAACCCGTAAGCTGAGGGGGGGGGGGGTTATGTTAGTTGGTCATGGCCTGTGTGGCCTTCTGGATCTAGTGTCATATCCCGGTGGGGGTTTTTAAGAGAACAGATGAGAGGCTTCCAAGACTTGCTGAGACAAAACCCCCCTCTCTGTTCATATTTTCTGGATGCAGTTCAATCTCAATTGCCTCCCTAATGATGTGATCCATATAGTGGGTCTTGGTGGCGAGGATGGAGGTATTCTGAAGCTGAATACGGTGTCCCAGATCGATGCTGTGTTCAGCTACGGCCGACTTGTCCGGTTGTTCGAGATGTATGTGCCGCTGATGCTCCTTCAACCTCATGTCCACGGAGCGGCCCGTCTGCCCAAATCTTACCCGTGATTATATATTGTTGACAAATTCTAATCCTTTAGGCATTTGGGCAAAAGGATTTCAAGAATTATGTATTTAATGATGTGACTTGTTCAAGTATTACTGTTGTATCAATTATAAACACCAAATAAAAATGAAATGAAATAGTTATATTGCATTTACTTGGTTTCTTGAAATACATGGTGATATTTCTTAAAGATCAGAGGTTACTGTTATATTACCATGTCTTTGTCGCTACAACAGTGATAATATGATGAATCACATAAACAAGAGATTTATATTTTGCAAGGCACGCTATAAAATGTGAACTCTACCTCTTATATTCCATGGCATTTGCAGCCATAAAGTAAGTAAATACACTGAAAACTCCATGTACTGTTCCTTGATTAAAGGTATTCCATCTGCTCAAAATCACTGATCTTCAAAGTAACCCTAACCAGAAATTTCGATTTTTTTTTCTATAAGTACACTGCAATTCTGTTTCTTTAGTTGAATGTCAAATATCACTACATTAAATGAATTACAAACATATAACCAACCTTGTGGTCCTTGCAATGTAAAATCACTTCTCCAGAGTGTGTTTCCCATACGTATGCAACATCATCCTGTGCCCCAGTCACAGCCAGTTTTCCAGTCATAGGCTGCAAATGGCAGCAGAATACAGAACCTACATGACAGACATTTCCTCCAGTCACAATTATTTAGAATAAATGCTAGGGAAAAACATTTCTTCCACAGAGTTTCACTCCATGATAATGTGATTACAGCTTTGGTTCATTATTCTTAAAAAAAATCACTTTAACCCACAAAGTCAAAGCAACGACCCATTGGTCACCATAAGTATCACTTGCTTTGATGTACTAAATCTCTGCATTCTATCCACAGAGTATATTTGTGCATTTTGTATGGTTCTCACAGTAAAAAGCAACCCTTTCTCTATGCTCAGCATTATGGGAGTTATATGCAATAAGAGTACAGGACTTCACAGTTCTACTTTTTTTCTATTGCTAGTGGGGTACACTTGCAGCCACTTCTGGCCTATTGTACCAGCCCCAGATGATAGGTGAGGGTGATTCTGGAGCAATTAGTGAAATGAAGATTGGCAGGGGAAACCGAAGTACTTGGTGAAACCCTGCCCGAGCACCACTTTGTCCACCACAAATCCCACTTGACCAGACCCGGGATCGAACCCGGGCCGCTGCGGTGGGAAGCCAGCGACTAACCGCTTGAACTATGGTGCGGCCCACAGTTCTATTAAGTCACACATGGAGAAAAAAGGTTAGTCTTCTTAATTACACAGCACTCATATCCAACATGGCACACCTTCCTCCCTTGAGAACCATCAGTTTCAACTGGCAATGCTTTGCAGGCTCACCAGTATTAATGTAGTCTGTTGAACAGTGAATATTTTGAAGAAAGCAGTCTTCTGGGATGTGGCACCGCCGTGAAAACCTCAAATCTTACATAGTGAATATTTTAACTGAAAACCTCGGATGGGGAAAACAGAAGTTACAGGTTAAATATTTTAGGCTGGTAAAGCCCATCTTACAAAAAAGAGAACACTTCAGGGCATGTACAAGAATAACTTGTAAACTTATAGTGTCAATGTTATAACTGCCACACAAGATAAGGTCTTTCCTCGCATGACAAGTAAATTCTATGTGTTATGATTAAGAAGAACGTCAAAATATGGTACATTTGTAGTTTATAAAAATCAACCTGCAGCTTCAAAAAACAAGAGTTCTACAAGTTACAAAAAAGTTTATTTGTAATGTGTAACTTTATTTAAATAAGTTAACAGAAATTATTACTTGTAGAGTCTGTAACTGCACAAGTTGGCAAAAAGACTATATTGCCTTTGGTTACTACATTACCTATTCCTTACCTCACTAAATGTAAACAAGTTCTAAAAGTGATATCAATATCTTTACACTCACATGATCACTACTGAGTATTAAAAGATAGCATTAACGTGATCGAACCTTTATGCAGTGAAAATACGTAAGCTGAATCGTCCCTTATAGGCTGACTTCCTTCAGAATATTCATCCCCTTTCATATCCATATCTTCATCGCTTGTATCATCTGTGTCTACAAAATTATTTTCACCAGCAGACTCTTCATCAGCAACCTCATCAACTTCATCGTCAAACAGCTCGTCGGAATCCATATTATTGGTTACGAACTAAAACCGAAATATTTTACAGACTCAAAAATATGTATATTCCATTTCAAAACAAATTTAATACCCAAGTCTTTTTACTTAAAAATAAAGCTTTAATAAACTCAACTGCAAATTCGACCTAGATAAAAACGATCCAAAACATTCCAACATATTTCCACATGGTCTGCTTCTTCAACGTCTTCAACAGACATCATTAAGTACACAACGTGACTAGCACGGGACCTTGGACAATACACGGGTCCATAACGTGAGTCCACGGAATAACAACATCGGTGACTGGAGGCAATATGTAGAAGATGAAATAATTTCACGCCATGGTCTATACCGGTCTATACGGTCTATACAGCTCAGCGAGGGTGATGAAATTACGTCTTGCATGAGAATTTGTAATGATGTCAGCTTTATTTCGTATATTTAACTAATCAAGTCGGACCGACGATGTCGCTAGTGCATACATATGAAACTGAACGAATGGATCGAATGGATCGGAATGGATTGACTGTACTCTTGATCGCTCTTGATCATCGCTGAAAGTTGAGTCACAGATAAGGAAGAGGTAGCGGCATTTTATTATGAATATCAATATTTCTGTTTTATATATTATGTATATATGTGTGTATATATAATTAGGAATTACACAGTGTAGTGCATTTGAGAGTTGTGAAGTAGAAGTATTTGAAAATCATTTAATCTGTTAAATTCTGCTTTCTAAAAAAGTTTTTAGTCCTACCATTGAGTTATCAATGTCTGTATTAAACCCAACAGGTAAGTATGATGAATTGTATATGGTAATTTCATTCAAAGCATTAGCTGCTTATAATGCTGAAGACGTGGTTAAAGTGTACAATCGCCGAACAATGGATCGCTGGTGATACCAGACAATACCTCCACCTGTTCGTCAATGTTTTCAGACATAGCATTCCATCCTTATTATTTCAGATACTGTTACCAGTTACTTTTGTAAGTAGTAATGATGTGTGTAGTAATCATAATTAATTGCTTTTGTTCTAATTAAATAGATTTAAATATTCGAGGGAACATGTGCCTGTGTGGGAAGTGCACCCCTTCTTGTATTAAAGCCAGTGGAATTACTTGCCAAAGTTGTTGAACTTGTTGCAGAAACCGATTTTACCCATAATTAATCTCTCTACCGCTCTAAAAGGAATATTTTCTGGGTGTTTTGGATTTATAAATATATTATCAAACGTAATAGAACTTCTAAAAAAATCCTCTCTTTGCTGTTTGGTTTTCTATACTGACGGGATAAATTGTTGGACAGGTTAGAATGATTTTGGTAAAGTCTTTTTCTCTCTCTTTCATACAGAATCATTAATATTTGTAAATGCATCTAAATGAATTTAAACTCATTTATATGCTATCACAAATGTGGCTTGTATTCTTCCACCCATTCTTAATAAGGATGGACAGATACCATCCTAACTTAAGACATCCTTGATAATGGATGAGAGTGTTGGTCAGCTTGTAGGTTTCTGCAGTATTTTTGGCAGGTGAAGCATTAGAAAGGCACTACATATTTGTATGGCAAATGAATTTAAATAAACAGATACATACTGCCACCATTGACTTCAGATTCATGTTGGAAGAAAGCTGAAATCACCATTGAAAAATTTAAATTATATGAACCTCCATGAATTGAATTTGATTTGTTTCATTCTGGTCCATCACACTAACAATTACAAAGACATTGTGTACNTTACATTTTGCCCTAAAAATATAGCCATCTTTTCTCTACCCGAAACTATCACTATTGTGATAGTAGTTTCTGGAAAAAGTATTGATGCCCTCTGAGGATGATCTGTAGGGATCGAAACATGTAAGGGTGATGAGTTTTCAAGTGATAAAACTTAAATAGTCACACTAGATTGAGTTGTTTTTGCCTTTGCTCCCTGAATTGACTTAATTCAAGCTAAATATACACTTAGGTTACTTTAGTATTTCATAAATTTGGTCTCCATTTAGAGTAAGGAAGAATTTCTGAAGTAATGGAGTGAATATGTGATTATAGATATTTATGAAATTGGGAGGTTCCATGTCCCACAGCCATACAAAACAGCAGCAAAATAATTGTTTTATACTGTTGTGTACCAAGTGTCATGTGCTGTTTTGGTCTTGTTCTTCATGTCAGGTTTCACAGATCTGTTATGAGACCCTTTGTCCCACAACAACAGAATATTTTTTTTATCAATTTAGTGGCTGTTGACTGCAAGAGAAACACGTTTAACATATAGTTTAGTTTGAGAGATGAAAAGCACTATCTTTTGTGTTATAGCGCCACGTAGTTTGGCAAACATTGCAGTGCATGAGATAGTACTTTTCATAATTATCACTGTGAAAACCTCAAATCTGACATAGTTTGAAGCATAATTGGTTTTAGCTCATTACAAGGGCCTGCCAGATTCATGTCAGGAGTGTTCTATATTGAGATGCCAGCATGCAATAGTTTGCAAGTGTGTGTCATTATTACTTATGTGATTGCACTGTAAAAGAATATGGTATGAGGAAGCATGTAGATGATTCAGAAGTTTGTAGATGCTAAGATCTAGGTCCATGTAATTGTAACCTGTTGAAGAAAGGCTTAGGAACACACCTCATTATCATTGATGTTAATGTTATGTGGGACGGTAGGCGCAGTAGCATTGCTGGCAACTGTTGCTGATGCGTGGAGAATGTGTGCAGTATTTCAACACACCTGCATCATTTTGATATGACATTTGCAGCAGGAGTGGAAATCTTTTCCAGAAAGTTTGTTTCATGTCCATAACACCTGGGAAAGCAGACAGTAATGCCATAGACTTTTGTTAGCAGGTTCTTAGTTTGAATCTTAGCCAGGACATGAGCTATACTCACTCAGGTTTTCTGTGGTTTCCATTAGCCCTCCCAGCCAAATGCTGAGATAGTACCTCAATTAGGTGACACTAACTTCATTTGAAATTCTTTCCAATTCATTATTCACCATTCATCCTACCTTTCGGTACTGTATAGCTTGAGATACTGACGGTATCGTAAAATAAACTACAACCCCATGTGTGATGAGTAATGAATAGCATGGCATGAATGTGTTTCTGACCACAACCCATTTTCGGTGTTGACAGAGGGTGGGAAAAGCATTTATATTCATTTACTTGGGTGAAAGAGCCACTTTGGAGATTCTGGCTGAAGTTGCCATCAGCAGACACTTGCAACGTTGTGACAGTTTCTGAGTACAGACAATTAACAACTGTTTGATTTCCTCATGAAGTGTGTGGTTCTCACAGCAGTCACTGTGAAGATCACTCTCTTCATAGGTGTGATGCCATTTAGTCTACTCTCTCCAACAAAATGGTGGCAGTGATCTAGGCTGCATGGTGTCACATCACAGAAGTCAGTAATCTTCATGAAACAACCTTGTTATTAATTACATTTAGTAGGTGATGAATGGAAGTTTGTTGTGATATATTGTCTGTTAATTTGTTGTGGCTGTGGTTGTAGCTGATTGCATTCAAGGAAGTTCCCTTTGTTAATGTATGGTCACTCAGCACTTATATGTCATCACAACTTTTTTCTTGGCAAGCCAGTGTCTTTGGGTGCATAGAGACAAGCAAAAAGAAAATAAAATTGACTATCATAAGTGCTATGTCATTTTAGAAAATCAATCTATAATGCAGTTATGCTCAAACTAAAAACAAACTCTGTGTCCTGTAGTCTACAAGCAAACTATACAAACTGAGTGCCAACTTTTGCGGATAAAAGTGTCTCGTGTAGTCAGTGCAACGGATCCCCACAGACGTTAACCTTGGTTTTCTAGACTGGAGCCACTATTTCCTTGAAATAGCTCCTCAGTTATCCTCACGAGGCTAAGTGCAACTTGTTCCAGACCCATTACTTCTCAGAAAATCTAGTATCATCGGGAATCGAACCCGGGACCTCTGACCACAGATGCGGTTTGCAGTTATGCTCATGGAATTGAAAATAGGAACAAATATGTACTGATAAATTATTGAAGGGTGAATTATTTACTACTTTCCGTAAAATCTTTACTTATTTCCAGGCCAAAGATGTGCAGGTTTCTGCACCTGAGTGGATATTCTTCTCTCCTTTTTCTTGTTACAAAGCAGAAAGAATTGGATTTAGATTGCCAGATATACATTTTTGGAAAAAAGCTAACTAACTCATTTTGAACATCAAACCATTCTAGAAACCTGGATTATGTCCCGAATGCTATGAAATCTATCATTATTGTGTGTTTCAGTATGTCTTCAGTGGAGATGGCAGACTTCACTTCAGTTTGTCAGATTTAGGAAACGAATAAATATTCAGAGACCAGCTGCACCACATTATGAGAAAGCCAAAGTACTAAAAGTTTGTAAACCATATTATTTGAACCCAAGGGAAGGGATGTCTTTGGCTGACTTATGTGAAAAACCAATTGAAGTTCAACCGCGCAATGAAGATGTGGTAGGTTTTTTTTTTTTTTGCTCATCATCTTCAATTCTTGCCCCAAAGCTGTGTTCCCAAGTCCTTCAGCCCCTGGGAATCCTTCTGTCTTAAAAAGTACTAACAGAACACAATGCTGAAACAAAATCAGAAGTTCATAAACTACATGAAAGTGAAAACACTGAATAGTGACTAAATTAAAATGAAAAGACTTGATATTCTGTTCACTTTTTGTTAATATAATTACTGATTTTTTCAGGAAAATCCATATGAAAGGATTTTAGCTAGAGAGGTGTTGAACTGGTTCAACCATTCTAGACTGGTTGCTTTCTTTCATTCAAATCCAATATCTGCAGAAGACAGATTCAGAGTAAGTCTGGCTTTGGCTTAATTTTTTGGGTTTTGGGAATACAGTGTGTACACTTTCTCAAGGTAAGGTAAAGGTAAATTTGTCCTTGTGCTTAGGTAATTAAGCACTACACCATGAAGACATAAGGGCAGTGGATGTGTAGACTTACATTTTCTTGACCTCAGAACTAGTTGCAAGTGAGTGGTGGGCTTCACGCACCAGCTGCTTTACCCATGGGGAAAGAGCCCCTGGTACCCATTGGTTAGGAAGCAGGGTGGGCCCCAGAGCCAGTCTGGACAACATGGAGAAGTGAAAATTCTTGCCCCTACTGGGACTTGAACTATGACCCTTTGGTTGTGCAGCTTGTAGCCAGTTGCTATACTGACTGCTATCCTAGCTCTCACTTTCTCAAGGACCACATGTTTATTTCAGTTGTAGAACTTTACTGTATATAAATGCCCAATGGCTAATGGAGAATAAATTGAAATAAATAATTGAAAAATAAAATAATTTAACATTGTGTAAGTCTAGAAAAATGAAAATAAAAAAAAATCATATTAGATATAAATTTAGTTTTCTAGAATTTGCTGAAATGTTATGGACACAAGTCATGGTGTAATAACACTATGAAGAAGGTTGAAAGCTCTTCTTAGACCGACAGTAACATCTGATTGAATAAAAATGTCCAAGATGGAACTACAGATAGGTACTGTATAGTGGGATATATTACCAGCTTGTTAGGGATATAATTTAGAATTAGAAAAATTCAGATAAGATTGTCACTCCTTTGATTTTTGGAGATACAGGTTACAGATTTGGGCCAGACTGCCATTAATCCTCATGAAGATTCCCTGTAGTTCTTACTCTGTCCAGGCAGATGGCAAAATAGTACCTTGAAGTAGTCTATGTTTGCCTCAAGAGATTGTCTTCCCATCCCATTTGACAGTCTATTATCTATGCAGATGAAAGGAACAATTCAGTAGTCTAAGCATCAGTACCACCTTCAGCTGTTCTATTATGGTAGCCATGTAAATTGTTGTGGAGGGAACAACAATCCAATTCAATATGAGATCCCAAAATGTTGCATGATAACAGATCTTTGAAACAAATAACTTGTATTATGATGTTTCTTTAAAGAAAAATTATATGGTGACACTGTGAAATGTAGATTTATGGAAGAATTCTCTGATTTGGGATATAATGTCATGTAATCTGTTGAAAGTCCTCTAAAATGTCAGCCAGCTTTCAATGATTTTCTTCCACTGGCTCTACAGCCCCCTTGGGCCCTGGCCTCTGATTTTTTTTCTTTTTTCAGTTTCATGATCATTTTACAGATGGTAGGACTCCTTGGACGAGTGATCAGCTCATCGCAAGGCCTCTTCCTAAACACAGGACAACACAAACACATACCAAACTTCCATGCCTTGTGTGGGATTCAAACCCATGATCCTGATTTCCAAGCAAGTGAAGACAGTATATGCCTTAGACTGCTTGGCTACTGTGACTTGCTTTCAACAGATTACATGCTGTTGTAAGATGAAAGCACATTTTACAACCACTACTGTGAGGGCCTCAGATCTTTTGTGGATTTACTGTTGGGGTCATGGTGAAAATTGATAAATCATGGGAGCTGTGTAAGTGAAATTTCTTGTAATTGGATAATTATGAAGGTAAACATTTTGTATTGAATGTTGTATTGAAGACTGTTGGTGTGTCATTGGTATAAACTTTTTTAAGTCTATCTTTTCAAACTCAATTGAACCTAACCCTTTCTAGGTCAGATCTATCTCTAATGGTTGATAAATTGTACAACTGTTTGTTTTAGACTAATATTATGTTGAAGAAGCAGAATATGTATTTGAAGCAGTATGGAAAAAAGGTAATGAGAATGGCTTTAGAAGATACAAAGTATGAACCAGTTCTCACACTGTTTGTATCAAGAAATTTTATGGTGTTCAGTCCGGAGCTTCAAGTGGGAAAACTGTTAAAATTAAACAGAAGAATTCCACAGCTTATCCTTATGGGTAAGTATACCAAGTAAACATATTCCCCTTATCCTCATTGTATTTAACAATTAATTTGCTGATAAATCTTAATTTTTTAATTCCAACCAAGCGTTATAGCTAATCTAAACTCTTTTGAGATAACTGAAACTGTTGACAACTAACATTCAGTATGATAAAGGTAAGGTAAAGTTGTCCTTGTGCTTAACTAATTAAGCACTATGCCATGAAGGCATATGGGGGAGTGGATGTATAGATCCACATTGCCTTGACCTTGGCACTAGTTGGAAGTGAGTGGTCAGCTTGATGCCCCTGCTGCTTTACCCCTAGGGAAAGAGCCCTTGGTACCCATCAGATAGGAGGCCGGGTAGACCCCAGAGCTGGTCTGGATGACATGGAGAAGAGAAAATTCTTGACCCTACTGGGACTCAAACTCCAACCCCTCAGTCATCCAGCCTGTAGGCAGTTGCTATACTGACTACACTTCCCTGGCTCCTGCCTTCAGTATGACAGGGTTTATGTTTCTGAGTCATGTAGCTAAATTGTTTTTGTAACCCTCAAAATGTAAAAATTTTGTAGTTTAATATCTGTGTTTGTATTATCTAGTTGCGTTTATGATGTGTGGTTGAAATTGAAATTTATTTAAACTGCTGATTATATGGTCATTATGTAATTTTTAAGTCATCCAGTCCTATCATACTGATATGTTGGGTTTTTGGACTTTATCCAT